GATGTGGATCTTCGATGTGGGGTTTCGTACCAACTCGAAACGAATTTCGGGGGTTGTGGCAATGCAACATTGACGAGCTCCAAGCCTGTAACAAGCTCATGTGCAAATTCATGTTTGTGCTTGTGATTGTTGACAAGGGGAGCTTCAATGATGTTTTCAAACCAATTTGCAAGGATTTTGTTCTGACTTTGCAGTTGACAAGTCGCAAGGTGGCAAAAAGTCGAAAAGCCATCAAAGGCCCAGCTCAAGCCAGAGGCGCTGGATTCTGACCGACACACATTGCGAGGCACATGCAGCTTTGCAGCGACTATTTTTTCCTCCAACGACGGCAATTATTGAAGGCATGCAATTACGTCTACTTGGGAAAAAGGATGACTTAGCTTGAAGCGATATCTCTCCTCTGATTCGACAATGCCTGCACCGTGCGTCAGGATTGGAATGCTCCATATTTTCGCAGTCAAGCGTAGCTTTAAATCCTTCGTCCGGAGAGACCTCGATCAATTAGAAATCGCATACATCATGTCGCATTTAATCAGCATTTCATCAATGTGAAATCCAACACATAAACCGGAAATCAATACATGCATTTCATTTCATCTCACATAATCTCAATCACACAAAGATACCAAGATAAAATTCACAAAACTTCCGGCCACAAACTCCAATGTATGATCGATATTAAGATGCGATTCGTGCACTCACGTGGAACCAGACACGCGCGAATCTCGTGAGAAAGACAAATCATTTCTGTTCTAGGTTTGCCAACAAGCGCTTCTATTCCCCAATCGCAAGTGAGACGGCCGGAGGTTGACAAAGGACACGCATGCGCGTGGTACACGAGGTGACCACCAGCAGCTGCCAGGGAAGCTTCGTGCCCATTGGGAACACTCGAACGTCTTGCTGCTGCGACCTTTTGGCACCGCGAAAGTCGTCACTGAACTGAAAAACCATTAGAGACCACTCGCTGTGGAAACTTTAAATTAAAAACTGACGCATATCGATGGCTGTGAATGCTCTGATGGCCTAAGCCATTGAATTTGCGTGAAATTTGTGTTTGGCTCATTTGATAAGTTGGCCAAACATGGAGAAGCCACCGGTGATAGCACGGGACGCCCATCACCGAGTTAGGTAGTTGCAAAACAAAAGCATCCCAAGTTGGTGCACGCCAGGAACCACATACGGTCAGCAGGCCGTAATTAAATCATTCAGTTTTGAATACGTGCTGGCGAGAGCTTTGAGGCAGAGAAGGGCAAGGGTGCACAGAATTTGGTAGCCAGAATGGGTTGCGAGCAGCAGAGGCCATGCCAGCTTTTCATCTATCTCCTCTGGTTGGCCACCGGGATTGGGTCAGCTCGGCCGTCGCGCGCTTAACGGTTTTTTACTTTGATGATTGGTGGTTTATGGAAACACGAGGAGCAGCGCCTGTTTGCGCTCTTGAAGACTGGCCACCCTTCGCCAGTCTCCTTCTCAGCGTCGCCAATGTGCACGTCAAGGAAACAGGACGGAGTTGTGCAAAAGTTTTGGCCCGAGGGTAACGAAGTCTTGCTGTTTTCGTGATGTGTTTGACTTCTCATCCGCGCCAGCCCGTGCAGGAGGTCAAAGCCAAGCCGATCACCACAGCAAAAGTCGCAGTCGCCGTCGTGGCGCCAGGCTCTGGGTGCGAGTAAGTCGGATTGAGGGTTTCTTGTTTCAGCATGTGTTTCATGCTTTCACGAATGCCAGTTTGTTTGCGTGGTGAGAGGTGCCGGCACCGGTATCAACGGTGCAGTTTACTCCGAGATAGCATGCAGCCCGTCGTTCAAGGCAAGACCGGACGATGCGGTGTGAGGGATCGGCGAACGGGTGGCATGGTGGAAGGTAGATGTCATTGGGCGCTCCAGGGCACCCTATGATGTGTATCCGACGCCTGGCCTTTTCTTTTCTCTTGCGGCTGCCACAGTCGCTTTTGCATGGCATCTAAGGCCATGCTGGCCTCAGGGCGCGCCAGCACCCAATCTGCAGAGCTTCGCCGAGGAGGACAGCCATTGTCATTGAAAATTCGCTGCATCTCATTGCCACAAATCGCAGGTGCTGGAGACGGGGGCGCACCGGAATGCTCAGGTCATGATCTTTGGATCGCGCGGGGGTCAGGTGGCCCTGACCCTTATCTTCACGCAGGAGGTGAACTCTTTCGCTGCAAGTCGGGTTTCTTTCTGAGGTACTCCCGCAGATGTGGCAGGCAGAGGCCCCTCAGAGTCCCATACATAAAGTTTCTTGCTGAGTTGCGCTGCACAGCTGCACAGCGCAGGCGCAGGGCTTGGTTCCCCCTGTGCCTCCAGTCGCCATCCCGGCTTTGACAGGTCTGGCATGATCAGCTCATTTTTGTGTGTTGATTCCAGAGGCCGTTGTTATCAATGGCGGATGCGACCCTGCCTGAGATCACCCTTTGGCGTGTGGCGGAGTTATTTCAGCAGTGCGCATGCCGAGGCCATGAACTTGCCGACTCCAGTGTATTGGCCTGACTCAGCTGTCAGCTTTCTACTCATTGGAGGGAATGACAACTTCAGGCTGGCAATATGCCATGGCATGCACGGCCTTGCACGGATGTGCGTTTACGTTGTCTTGCAGGGGAAACCTCAGCATGGAAGAGTACGTTGCTGAGACGAGGTGGGTGCAGATCAATCTTGATTGTGTACAGCATGACGAGCCATGGGGAGTGAAATTTGCAGGAGCTATGTGCCAGCTGACAACAAGACCACCGCGATTTTGTCGGTAAACGACTCTCGGCCTTTGCTGCGGAAGCTAAATTTCATGGCAGCACGGAAGCTCCAGGGAGCCTGGCAGCAGCATGCTAGTCAGCTGCTAGTCTGAGGAGATGACGCACATGCCCCAGCAGTCGTTGTCCAATTCTTAGATCGAGTGGTGTCATGTATTTTGGACAAGCTATACTGTGTGACTGTGTATGAGGCTGCGAGGAATCCTGCGACTAATGTTGAAAGCCCTGGTCTCCTGGAAGGTGTTGCGGGGTCGATTGGCAAGTGGACTTGGGGACTTGGGGTCTTGCCCGAAAAGCTCAGGCAGACGGCAAGGTTCCACTCGAGCGCCTTCGTCAAATGCTCGCCTTTTTGAGACAGGCTTGTGAGCTCTGCCGGTGTCAAGTGAGCCTGGTGCATCTACGTTGATCGCGAGTACAGTGCATAGGAGGCTGTTTCACGCCAGACGAAGTGGCAATATCAAGTCATGTGAAGAAGGATGGATGGAGCGGACGGTTGCTGTACACGACAGCTCCGGGTGCGTGGGAGGATATTCCATTCAGCCCGAAGCCCAGGAAATCATTACGACATGGCATATTCCGTGAAGCAGAGAGAAGAAACTCGAAAAAGACCAGGTCCCCGGGATAGAGAGAAACTTCAGGCTCGCTTCTTTTGCTCGTAGCTTTGGCATTCAGTTGCCCATTTCCCATTTCCCATGTTCATGTTGGTCCCCCTGTAGGTGGCTGTCCCTAGACACATCCACCAGGAGGCACTGCATGGGCCCAAATCGTCAAAGCACCGATGCATGCTCTGTATCTATGGAAGGACCTCGGAGCGGGGGACGAGGCGAAGGCAACGAACTTTTGCTGTCCTCTTCCCTCCTCGTACATGAAATGCATGAGTTCTGCTCTTCCGAGGTGCTTTGGAAGGCTGCCGTGCCCTACAAGGGACATCGCCTAGCCCAGGCGGTGAAGGCAGGGTCCACCAGCTTCATTCCGAATCACTGGCTCTGTGCTAAGAATTCGGGAAGATCTGCTGGTCTGCAAGGTGTGCTAATGGCAGCAAGCTTCGCTTCGATATGATTTGCTAACAAACTGGTCACTTTCCCAGCTTTACCTGCCGTGAGAGAAGGAGTGGGAACTAGAGAAATGAGGTCTTGGCTCAGGCTCCAGAAGACGAGAAGTACGGGATCCTGACCTGCTGTAAAGACTGGTGCTGCGGTGAATGTCGTTTGTTACAGTACTCTTCTTTCTCAAGTCCAAGCTGGCGGTCTCAAGCCAGGAGGGTCACTGCAGGGGCCGGAGAAGCACTTAGTTCGATAATTAATGCATGCGGATGCTCAGCAATCCGGAGGGCCCAGCCCTCAATTTGTAGGGCGTTCCACTGCATGCTAATGCAGTGCATGGGGAGGGGGAGGGGGCTTTGCGGGTGTCATGGACCAGGGAACATCCCTGACAAACGCCCGCAGGCACAATATAAAGACTGAATCCCGCGCCCATATTTGCGAGCGCACTCTGAAGTGCTCGCACGGCAGCGTCCTGTGACGGGAGCTATCAGCTTCCTGACTGTGTGCTAGTAGCTGCTAAGTTGCAGTGTTCAGCAATCGGATCTTGGCAGTTTCTCATCCCACGAGGACGCATAGCATCTCAAGCATTAATGACTAACGAATATTATGCCATCAAAGAGAGGCAAAACAGGTCCCTCATGCGTCTGCTTTCTGCCTGGTGGGAGCCTTGCTAGGGGAACCCTTCGCGAACACAGTCTGATACTATGCTGATTTCAGTTGCATGTTTGCATGTCCGTGGCTCTGGGATTGTCCTCAAGGTAAGAGAGCTGGAATTATTCTAGTTGCAAACACTTCGCATCGGTCCGCCTCGGCCCTCTCGCATTTTCCAGGGCCCGAACAGGACAGGCCAGGTGTGGCCGGCAAGGGGCCACAGTCCATGGAAGCCAAAATTGGTTTGGGGTCAGTGGCCCACTTAAGCAAGGGTTGGGTTGCTGGGGAGGGGAAAAGGAGGGAAAGGAGGTTCTCCAAGGGAACGGAGGGAAACTCAAAAGCGCCTCGGCCGAGACTGATCCGAACATTGCCTGAGATTGTGCGGCTTGCTCAATTTGTCCACTATGCCTGCCAAGTTGTGTTCCGGAGTGTTTTCAGCTATCAAACCGGCGTTTCGACCAAGCTTGTCATTTTCGCTCTCGGAGTATGTCGGAGTGCATAGCTCGATTCAAGCACTTTTGTTGGTTCCAGGCCCAGGAGCTTTGTCATCCATGCTTTGCGCCATGTGCAGATGCTCGGGTTACTGGCCAAAGCTAGCCAGACCCATCCTTCGCAGGCGTGTTCGTGTTAACAAGTTGAGACGACTCCTCGCGGCACCGCGACGCCGGCGAAGCCGTTTGCAGGTCGCGTCCTTTCTGTTTGCAAAGCCGCGCAGTTGCCGCCGCAATGCAGGATGTCGGGGCTGTCCGATTCGTTTGATAGAGTCCTCGCGCTTGAGTTGAGCAAGCAGGTTTGCTAACGATTTGTTCGTGTTGAAACTGTCTTTGTGGCACTGTCATGGCAGGAGCATATTGTCGTTTGCAGGGCTTTGAAAAGCAGGATAAGCCGGGCAACGGTCATCTTCATGAGAAATGCAGGATTCACAAAGCTACCAACGTTTGGATGTACCACCTGCGAATGCCTCACAAGGTAGCTTGGCTGAACATGGGTGGCTATCCAATGCCACGGCACGAGAGATTGGCCGTGATTTGTCCACAGAGTCACGACATCCGATCGCTCGCACAGTTCTGTGGACTGAGGTAGTGCAGAGAAGTTCGCAAGCTTGGTGTCGCAGGACGCCGATCTTTTCTACAGAACATGCGTAGCAGGGGTTTGGCTAGTCAGGAGCTGGAAGCAGGAGCCACCGTGGAGCTGCTTCCCGTTTCATCAGAGGCGCTCAGGCTTTGGTGCTGCAGGCATTCATGTGGCGCAGCAAATTGAGAGCAGGCTGCGTGGCACCTCCTCAGGGCACTGTGCATCGGAAAGAGATCAGCCGAGTTCGAGGTCTCCGTTGCTTGGTGTGCAGGGCCAGACCAAAGCGGATCCTTCCATTGAAATGTGCAGGTTCACTTCGCGCCCCAGGAGGGAGAAGAAGACAACCGGTCTCTGCGTGTTTTAGCGCGGAGTGGGCCGGAATGGGTGGATGTCAGCAAAGACTGGCATCTCAGCTTGCTTGAGATGCTGTTTGTTGTGTGAATTTGGATGTTTGTTTTGGGTCCACCGTCGTGGTCGTGTCTGCAACACGTCCTTGGAAGCTGGTCGTGTAACGCGCACAAATCGCGGCGAAAATGGGTGACTCGGAGAATGTCAAGTAAACCTAGACAGATGATGCCATGATCGTTCAGGAATTAGAGCTTCTGGCCTCTGTCTTTCCTTCCGGACCGGCATGCATGTGATGAAGACGACTGTCTGACGGTAAGAGAGAACCATCACCAACCCACATAGGTTGGGTACAGTAGCCGCTTGACGGAAAAGTGCCGTTGAGAGTGGGACTTCTCAGGTATACCGGATACTTTGTCAGCAAATCGACGCTGCCTGCCTGGCAAGTTCTCGATGGAGTTCGCTTAGTGACGCGCGCGCGCTGTTGCTTCTGGAGTATTCGGTTTAGTATTACATCTGAGGCAAGGATGGAAGCTTGCCCGAAAGCTAGAGATGGATCTCCGAGAAAAATCAGCTGAGTCTTGACTCAAGCGCCCTGCCTTCGTCCACACACCGTGTGTTGCGCGCTGTTGCATCTGAGGTTGCCGTACATACCTTCGTAGATGCTGAAGCCTCGGATGTTCCCTGTTGCCATCTGTTGCCTGGTGCCATGGTGCCGGGCCTTGGGTCGTCGAGGCGCTCCCAGCAGCCCTGACAATCCTCCAGGCACGGCGGGGCCTGCACCACTTGGCTCCTCTTCTGCCTCCATGGGTCCCGGCTGAGGCCCTGGCAGCAGTGCCCGGTCTGGCTGCGAAGGCGGCTGTTGGCGTCTGCAAAACCTAGGAAAAGGCTTTACTCCTCTGCAGGACCATGCCCTTGTTTGCACGGAGCCTGAGCTGCACCGACAAACGAAGGGGCTCCTTGCCAGTTGCAGAGTCCAAGGCTACTGCCGTGGACGGTGACTCCGCCACCCGCCTTATCGTGCATGCATGCACTCCGAGGGCTTGGTTGGTGCCCAGCTCAGCAGAAGTGCTCTCCTCTTTCTGTCAAGCGGCGGCCCTTTCCATACAGATGTAAGGATCCGCCCAAGATGGCCGAGGGAAGTTTTATAGCCTACCCTCCTGGGTCTGCTGCTTCTGAGGAGGGGAGCTGCTTGGAGCCTGCGCCGCTTATGCTCATGATCTAAGCGATGCAGGAGGACAAGAGGGTCTTCCGGAACACCGTCCATGCAAGGCTGCAGCCAGGGAGCTGTGTAGTGATGCAATGCCGTGGTCAGCATGCAGACGCTCGGTAGCATTGGACTCACTCGACCCATGACTTCTTCAATGTGTTCTTGATAATGAGGCCTGGCACGCCCTGGAAGCTCTCGCCCTGAAGGGCCTTGTCACTGCTGAGGTGGAGGTGCTCCTTTTGTTTCCTGATGTCGTTTACTGCCAGAAATTCGAAGCAAGGCGAGTTGGGTTGACTGGCAAAGTGGCGAAGCTGGCGGCAGAGCCATTCAACTGATCGTTACCACTGGGAAATCTTGGCAGACTCTCTGCTGCAAACGGTCATGCTCTGGGCCTCTGGGCTGTGGGCATGACGGCGTGCATGGGAGCACCGACGAGGGATTTCAACAAGACCAACTTCCAGAAGACAGCCCTCCTCAAAGCTGGGGACCAACCACAGGCAGCTCGGCTCCGCCGACAAGCAGTAGCTACCATGGCCACCATAGCCTCCCTTTTTGCAATGATCGCAGGTTTCACGACTGTCGATGGCTATCGGAGGAGAGATCCACAAGCGAGGTGCGACTTCCGTACATGTGCTTCTTGGAACAAGATGGGTCGATGAGAGTGAAGGATCAACGAACATGCTGCCTCGCGTGCTGCCGCGAATCTGCCCCTGATTATTCATAAGGTTTGCAGATAACATCGCGAGCGTCCACGCGACGCTGAAATCCATTGCATCAGTCCCCGTCCTGTCCAAGCAGCTTGGCTGATCGCCGGCCAACCAAGCTGTCATGTTGCGAAGCTCAGGTCCGCTGGCAGGCCTATCCTTAGAGTCTTATAGAGAGAGGAGACTGCCTTTGGAAGAGCCTTCTGTTGCCTTCTTCAAGCCTTGTTCCGGAGGCAGGTTGTCTTTGTGCCGAGTCTCGGCTGGGCCTCAGGGCCAGATGGGACAAAGTCTCGCCGAAGTTTGCGAATCTACGCAAAGTGCCTTCGGCCCGGTTTGCTCCTGCATGTGCCTATGCCAGCATGGCGCACCCGTGCCAGGCGCCGCACGACCTCGTAGCTTTCGCATTTTCCAGTGGCCACCAGAAGAAAGGTCTTTCGCATGTGCTGCACTGCAGAGCAGAGAGCCAGGTGAGCAAGTGAGCAGGCACTTGTGTATGTTAATCAGCGCGAACAGCTAAGTGGTTCTTGAATACACAACATCAACAAACACACATACACACCCTTTCGCTGAAGCTGTTTCTGTCAATTCAGAACGAGCAAGATGCGATGTCATAAAGAGGATGAGTGTTGGAACACCTTGCGAAGTTTCATTTGTTGATTCGCACCGGTCCCATCACATCCCATCAGACTCTACTCTGTGTTTCTGTTAGACTCTTCTTTCATTGCCTGTATGAATGATTGCAGCTGAATTCTCAGATGTCGGACACTCAGCAGTTGCCATCTTCGAAGCCCGTGATTCGTGCGGAATGAAGTTGATGGCCTAACAAGGTTTGTGAAGCCAGCGGAAGGTCAGCGCTCAAGAAAAGCGCTGAGTGCCCCGATCTGTGTTATTTCCAGCTGCTGCACTGGTGGCGGGTAGGTAGACCTGCGACGTGTGTGAAAGTGCTTGACGTTGCCGTGGTGCAGGTGCTCTCCATCTGTGATCGTGCATGCACTGAATGATTTGGAGTTGGATATCCTTGAAGTGCAGCACTCGGGTGGTTTTGAACTGTATGAAGCGGGTGAGATTCTCTGACAGAGGTAGAAGAACGTCAAAGAGTGGAGGACTTTCGAGTCTCCACCGGTTCTCCTGTCCAGCTACTCCAGCATGCCAGCATGCTCCAGCTATCTTTGGAGAGGAGCTGAATCTCCAGATTGCAGAGCTACGGCACAAGCAGAACCAGCCTGTTTGCGCCGCTCTTTCTGCGACGCAAAGTGGGAGAAACACGGACCGAGGCTGCGAAGACATGAGCAGCGGCGGAGCAGGCGTGTCGCGGAGCGCGAACTGAGCCTTGGCATCGGCTTCAGCAGCCGAGCTGAGCCTTGGCGGAGGCTTCGGCGGGAGCTGCTGCGCCGGCGATTCTCGTCCTCCCCACTCGGGCAGCTCATGGCGAGCGTGGCGACGGCCTGAGAATTGAGACTTTGCAAGACTAAGACAGTACCTGGTGAAGCAAAGGTGCCGCAATTTCTGGCAGCTCCCGATGTTCTGCCTGGCCCCCAGAATCTCACCCTGCCATTCGACCATTCCAGTGACGCACCGGGTTCTTCTATAGTGCAAGCAGTCTGGCCTCTCGGACGAATGAGGGCTTGTCACGTCCCGGAGGCTTCAGGTCGAGAGCACTGTACCCAACCCAGCAACTACACGTCAGCCACCACACGGAACAAGCGCAACCTGCCAAAGCAAAAGGCGATTTTCAACCAACTCCAGCGCAAAACATCTCGACACCCGCACCCGCGCAGCCACCCGCCGCAACCCACCTCACCGGTAACACCCTCTTAGTCATACATTCCCTAAACCTCCCACAGAAAATGATGGCAGCCAGCAAACCTGAAATAGGTCAGCTCCCTAAAAATTGGAAGCTCTTGGTTTATCGCTCCGTAGTCCAGTCCATCCTCATGTGTTCCATGGATAGTATTCTTCTTACCCCAGCTCAGCTTACCAAGCTAGACTCAATTCACTATAAGTGTTTACGTAGAATCTTCAAGATCAAATAAATCGTCCTATTGCCACCGGGTCATTTATCCTTCCAAAACTGAGTGTTCCAATCAGTATCTTGCAGAGCTTGCATTCTCCTCTCGCCGCGTTATTATCCCTTCTCAAATATATTCCCAGAATCGCCTCAATCTCCTTGACATCGAATACAGAGACCCCGAATTCTTGGAGTCTCAAGCAAGATTTATGCCGTCAGTGGCATAGGCCTAACGCGCACTGGGCAGAATCATGCCTGGTTGAGGCATTTTGAGGCCTCTAGACGGTTGGAAATACTCCAGGCTGATGCGGCCCCTCCACATTCCTCGATAGAGCATGAATTTTTATCCATTCCCACCGCAGCTGAGATACAACAAGAACAATCCTCGCACTCCATGGTCTGAATGGACAACACTCATCTTTATCGCCGAGTTTCAGCAATTTCCAGAAATAGAGCACTCTGGGTGTAGTTAACAAACCAAGCCGTAAAACCCGCAAGCGCTGCTGACACCGTCCGTGCAGACGGAACGTTCCTGCTCTTGCAAAAAACGAAGCCTTGGATAATACATTTTTGCTGCTCCGGTTGGAGCCCTGAAAAAGAAGCTCGCCGACCGAGTGCCTTCGAGTGAGCTGTGTCTAAGCGGAGGGTAACGGGCTAGTCCGCCCGAACGTTTCCATGTTTCAACAGTATTCTCTTCCCGACACCTTGGAATTCCTGAAACACGCGGTCCCGAAGCCCTCCTCCAAGGTGTTTCACACTCCAAAAGTTTCACTTTACTGCATAAGCAACATCCAAAAACACAACATGTTATCAATTGACATATATATATATATATATACCGTCAGTTATACACATCTTGAGCTTCTTGCTTGGACAAAGCTGTTTCTCAAGTTTAACATTTTTCACAATTACGCCAGCTGCTTTCTTCTTGAATTTGTGTTCAATGTATTTTCACCTTCGAAAAAATCTCACGTTTCAATTGTAATTTCCACTGTATTTATGTACATCAGCAAAACCGTCATGCTGCACATTTTCTTTTTGATCATGTGTGTTAGGCTAATCAGATTCAATCACCAGAAGGGCCTCCCCCGTTCTCTGGTCCCCATCACTTCAGCGTCCCCCATCTGTTTAAGCAATTGCGTCTACGTAGCAGGTTTCAGCGGCCGAGACATTGTTTATGCAGGGACATTCCAACGCAGAATGAGGTCGCCAAGGTACTACGATACGACAAAGGTGTATCTGTATGTGGGCCAGAGTAGAACTGAATATGCGTGTTTGAATCCACGCTGCCCGAGCTTTTTCGACTCTGGTTCCTTTTTGTTGCCTTAACTTGTATGGCCTCTCGACTCAAGGCTCTGATGTACGTTTTGCATAACACGACAGATATATGAATAAATGTATTGTGATATGAATAAATGTATTGGGATATCATCGTGACAGTTTACATGACATGCCCGAAATCGTTCAATCAAAAACTTATTCAACAAGAGTCGAAAGGTTCATGTTGATCAATCATGGCAACATAAAAAAGACACCGTAATATTGGAAGCAAATGATTCAGTTAAAAGCAAGAGCAAGCACAAGCAAAATCATGTACATAATCAACAACATGTGCAAGACAAAAGTCCGCTGCCAAAATGAAACTCAGTCTCAGTCTACGTAATCTTAATTTAGAATATCTTCTAAATATTTTTATCAGAAGAATCTAAGTCTTGCTACTTCTCGTTCTAGCATAACATGTTCTAGCTGTTTTGCCTTTTGAATGCTTCGAAGTTGATCGATGTAGAAAGAATTTGAGGCGGTTGTTAAACATAAGGTATTCCAAACCCAGATAAATCAAATCGAATCCAATTTCCGTGCAGTAGTACTCAATTGCTTCTTACATACTTAATTATTCATTGTTTAATGTGTTATGGATTTCGAGCTAATTTGCCATCAACATAAAGCGACATACAACATGGTTAGTTTCAGTAGTCCAACTGTAACCATCACGACTTTACTTTCAGTTGATCGTTGTGTAATATTGTGATTCATTTTGAATTGACATTTGATTCCGGGAAATCAGGAATTGGTGGTGGGGGGCCATGAAAAGCCTATGATTCTTCATTGCTTGTTTCACTGTATTGTTGGTATGCATTTGCTGATTCTGTTGAATCATTGTTTTTAATGTCGTTCAATTGTTTTGTTACTATTACTATTTTTGCGCATTGGGTTGCGAGTCACCACTTGGTTCAACTACTGGTTCATAGGGTACTCTTAAAATTCAACAACAGCAACAGCAACGGCAGCCCTAATAACAATTTCACATGCAAGGGAAAAGGCTGCAAGATTCCACAGCGCCATGTGTTCACAGTGAAATTGTGCTGGTTTCGACTGAGGGGCGAAATGCATGTTGGCCGTGCAAACACAAAACATAGACTCAAAGTTCCTGGTGCAGCAGAGTTGCGCCCATTCCGAGGCGTTGGCTTTCGGCCTCGCCAGCGGCGGCGGCACAGTTGTGTCCCAACCTCGAACTCGTTTGCAGGACTTTCAAACGAGCGCTGGTTGGCTTGACGTTTGCCCAGGCATCAGTCAACTTTTTTCCGTCGATGAGGACATCCGACGCATGTCGTATGATCGCAGGGCTGCCTTGGCAGCCAAGGACCCATGCTCTGCTTGACAGGACAAGCCAAGGACACTGTCTTGACCTTTGATCGTTTGCTGTGCGACCAATTAAATGCTAATGTCTGTATGGTTTCAGGCTGCATCATCTGTGTGGCCTTACACAGAGCCTCTCACCGCGTGCAGCCCAGGCATGAGCTTGATGAGGGAAGGAGCATATTGTTTTTGTCTGGCTGCGCATGCAGGCGGTAGCATCTTCGTTGCACTGGCCAAGCTTGGAGACACTGTCCATGGAAGCTTTTCAGCATGCTACGTGGTGACTGAATTTGAGAACGGAACTACAAAACAATCGCTCTACCTGCTGTGTTATTGCAATCGAGGACATGGGAAACATTGCTTGGTCGCGGCTTTTGCAGGTTCATAGTCCGCCAGATTTCAGCTGGCTGATGTTCGCTCAGCCAGGCACTGTGGGAGCAAAGCCAGCACACAGAGCACACGGGTGATCCGTCTGTGCAGC